AATTGGAAGAATCAGGTCTGAAAACAGTGTATTTGAATTTTTTAAATAAACTAGTATAAGAAAAAAACATATATAAGACATACGGTGTCTATATTATATGGTAATTTTTAAAATCTCTTTTCACTCCATAGTTGCCTCATTAAAAGCACATAAGTGAAAGAATTCACTCCAATCAGAGATTCTGAGACATCTATCACCCATGTTACTGATGATATAAGTAACACTTCTCATGATAGAAGTGTCCTCTATGGTAAGCAGGGGCATAGCTGATACTGGTAATCCCAGGTTACCTTACTGCTACATGTGATGCTGGGAAACACTGCGCTGTGGACTCAGGGTCACGCATGTAAAGGACCAGCTGGGCCCCTCTGGATCCCCAAAGCTGGCTGGCTATCAGTCAACAGACTTGCTTAAGTCAAGCATCTACTGTCTTCTTGTCGCCAGATGCCTGGTGATGGATTCTAACTCATTTCATTCCCAGTGGACAAAGAAAAACAGCCCCATATGGTTTCCTGAACTGCCATTCTGATGGTCCAGTGGCTAAAAGGTGACCTGCAATCACAAAGACACATGGTTCAAAACCACCAGCTGTTCTAGGGGAGAAGGAAGGGCAATATCCTCCTATATGAATTTTTTACCTCTGAAAACCCACTGAGGACCAGCTCTGGATTCATTCTTATTTAACGTCACACAACAACAACAATCTCTAAGGTAGCAGATATCCAGCTCTTCATCAGAGCAGCTGGTGTATTCTAACTATCCATTTTCCACTTAGCAGCCAGATATTTAGTCACTGCACCACCAGGGATGGTCTCCACTGCAAAGTTTTGTGACACTAAGAATCACCTGTTGGATTTATTTACAGAGCACAGACTTGTCAATCCACCTGCCCTTATCTGCTGATTCAGTAGCTATGATATTGACCCAGGGAATCTTCTTAAAGACCACAGGAAATGCTTATGAAGAGCACAGCTAAAAGTCCTCATGTTTAAAACTTAAATGAATGTTTAGATGCTCTTGTCCAGCAAGAGCATGAAACACACATGACCTCTCTTCATGTCTGCTACTCTGTTCTCCCACAGAGAGACTGTCTACGTGGCTGACACTCTGGCTCTTTGCTTCTCATTAGGAAAATCTTTAGGCTGGTCCCCCTCAACTTAATCAATACTGTTGCGGGATACAGAATTGAAAAAAAAAAAAAGAGAGAAATAAGCTTGCAGCCCCACGGCCCATGGAAAATGGGGCCAATTTCACATTCCAGAGCCTTTCATGCAAAGCTCAGGAAGCAGCAGAGCCGCCAGTGGAGTCATCAGTGTCGGAACACGGAGTTATCAACTACACCCAGGTTAGAGAGTGAGAAAAGCAAGAGGCGCCACAGGCCCCGGGCTCACTCGCTCTCCAGCCACTCCCAGCATCTCCTTGGAATGGAAAGGCAGTTCACGCAAGGTGACAGGGATGGCCCTCAAGCTGCTTGGCACCGACCAGCTTTGACTTAACGAGTGCTCAGAATCACACTCAGCATGGAGAAATCCACTCTGACCCTGGACGCCTGCCCCCTGGCAGAGACTCACTTACATTTTTACTCAATTACTATTTCTAAGAACAGAGGGGAAAAAAATAATATACAGAGCCCCGCTGCTCAGCAGCTTTGCAGGGAAGGCTTGAAAGGGGTCCAGGGGTCCCTGAAAGCATCCCCACCACGCTGCAGCCCTGTGGAGCCTGCCCTCCCTCTCCCCTCCCCATCACCCCTTCAGACTCACAGACAACGGGTTCCCAGCTTTTGGGGACCCAAGAAAGAGGGAAAACTTTTGGTGACTATGTGACTAACAGAAATCCCAAGTGTCAAGTGTCTGAGAAGGAAACAGTGTAAGTTCTCAAAACTCATTTTCTACAGGGGGAATCGATGATAAGAAAATAAATCCAAAGCCACATAGGCTATGACAATTAATAGGACAGGATTTCAAAGGTAAATGAGAAAGAAGAAGGATAAAGGAAGGGAACAAATATTTGGAGTCTCTGTGCTATGGAGGAGAGCATCGGGCTGGAGCAGAATTCAGATCTTGCCTACTACAAATAGTTCAGGATCAGGTATTTACTCTCCAAGTCATGATTCCCAGAAAATTGGGGCTGTCAGTCAATCCTGACCCAATGCTGGTAGGGTGGTTTGTATCATAAGTACCAAAGGCATAAGGGATCCTCCACAAATGTTTTCCTTCTCCCAATCCCAACTCTTTTCCTTTCCAAATAGAGCTAGTGCGAAAGAGCAAAGTTTTGACGAGTCAGTTTAGATGCTCAAACCCACAGCTGATTCTGACTCAAAGTGATTCTACAGGACAGCAGAGAACTGCTTCATGGAGTTTCCAAGCTGATCACTTCCTCTGTCTCCTCTGGAGTTAATGGGTGGCTTTGAACCTTTGACCTTTTGGTTAGCAGTTCAGCACTTAACTAGTACAACCACAGGGCACAAAATAAAATTTAGAGCTTGAAAGCAAACATAATCTGCCTCACTTAAAAACTCCCAAACACAAAAACTTATGGTTGTCCAGTCAGAACCAACTCAAGCTGACCCTCCATTGTGTTTCCAAGTCTGTGAGTCACACAGAAGGAGATTGCCCATCCCTCTCCTGAAAAGCCAATGGTGAATTCATACTGTTAGACAGGCGGCCTTTGGGTTAGCAAAGCAACTCCCTACAGTAAGCTGCCAGTGCTCCCTACAGGAGCCCTTAAAACAGGGGTTTAACTCTTCACTCGTTTCATCTACACAGCATCTTCTACATGCCTGGAGGCTTTTTGAATTAAAGTAAACTTAAGTTCTAGTACATTCAGTTCTTTTTGAGGACATCTCAGTTTCAATACCAAAATCAATCTATAGCCTAGGAGTCCATTGTGTCTTAGAGCAAACCCACAGGTAGACTAAAACTGCTCCATTAGGGTTCCTAAGACTGTAATCTTTCCAGAAGTTTATGGTCACATCTTTCTCCTTTGGAACAGCTGATGAGTTCAAACCGCTGATATTTCAGAGCCCTTAATGACTGTGCCACCAGAGATTCTTAATCCCAGTATAAGAGCAAAACAAGCCAATGCCATTGTCATCTAGTTAATTTTAATTCACAGCAATCCTGCACAACAGGGTAGAACTGTTCCATGATGTTTCCAAGGGAGTTGGTAATCTTAACTGAAGCAGACTCCTATGTCCTTCTCCTGTGGAGTGACTAGTGGGTTCAAACCACTAACATTCTATCTAGCAAGCGTGAGCCTAACCACTAAGCCACCAGGGCTCCAATACCCATTTAGGCCAGTATAAGTAAACTATAGATTCCTAAGGAGACAGGTTGCTGCTGAAGCAGCACCAGACTCGTGGCTGCCCTACACACCAGAGAATGAAATGCTGTCTGCCTGTACACTCCCGATTGGCTGAAGGGCAGCGGTGTGACCCACAAGGTTTCCATTGGATAATTTCTGGAAGTAGATCACCAGGTCTTTCTTCCTATTCTGTTTTGGCTGGAAGTTCCACTGCAGCGTGCTCAGCACTATAACAACCAGCAAGGCTCCACTGACAAGCAGGTAGGAGCAATGCACAAGGTGCCTCAGCCAGGGATGGAACTCAAGTCTCTCACATGATGCTGTTGTCATTCGTTGCCATAGTGTCTCGTAGCACTTCTGCCTCAAAAGAATGAAACCCTACCTGAGCCTGCACTGTCTTTACAATCTCTGCGGTGCTTCAGACCACCGTTGAAGCCACGGTGGAACTCCATCTTTTCGAGGGTCTTCCTCTTAAAAGACAAGAATTACACCACTGGCCAAATTACAGAGTGAAATGTCCAAATGAGCCAGGCTTCCATTAAAATAGTAACAAAAAGACTTCCTTTGTCTCAGGAACCTCCATCTACATTCAGAATCAGCATAATTCTAGCCTACTCAGGGTCTTAAAAATGCTGAGTCCATCAATGCCAGGCTTTCCCATCCCCCATGTTTAATGAGCATCAGGCAGGGACAACATGGATCACTGAATTTCTTGAATGTCAGGATCATTCAAATTCTATTTGCCTTGTGGTTTCATTGCTCAGTGTACAGTAGGAACTCCATAAATGCTGAATGTTCCAAACCACAAAGGGGTAGAAGGTCACTAGTGCTGGTTCCCTTAGCCTAACACACAGCACTGGCTCTGAGGAGTATGCACTCTGTTTCAGGATGAAGGCTAAATGGTGAGAGCGAGTGGCAGGGCCCATGGCCAGGTAGCTGAGGGCCTGACCTGTGATGATGCATATTTTTTTTTCACACAATACAGAAATAAAAAGTTAAAAATAACAGCATCACCCCCCCCCACCCCCCACCGGTCTCCCTCCAAAGAGGAGAAAAAAAAAATCTCCTTATCCCACTTCAGTTCCAGAAACATTAATTAGCAAAATCAGTATCACTGAATAATTCTGTGCAGAAATTTTTAAACGTGAACCTACGTGACTGCATCAACTTTCACTTAAACACAACAAAGTATTAACTTTAAAAGACATTAAGTCAGCAACTACTTTGTGAAAGACTAAACAAACAAATGAAACAACAGTTAGTGTTCTTAATTAAAAAAAAAAACCAAACAAGAAATTCACTTGACCAAGAATAAAGAAACAAGTCAGATACAGTCCATGCCACCATAACATTACAAGTTGACAAAAAAAAGAGACCTTTGACATTCAAGTCATGCAAAAGCTTGGCCTCCATAATTAATATTTCAAATCACTCTACAGCTCATACAACATGTTTCATATACCCACAATCCATTTTTTTTTTCACATACTGCAATCAAGTCATCATATTGCTTCAAAACTATTCATGGATTTTTTTTCCATGTAAACTCTGAGGAGAAAATTTAGGGTACCTTTGGGATTGTTCAGCATTTCCGAATTCTATTTTGCCTCTGACCAGTTCCCCACAAGGAGACAAACAGGAGAGATGGACTTGATATCACTATGTCAAATGAGGTATAAACAGACAAGGATACTCACCAAGGTACCCACAGAGCACCTGGGACTGTCTGGAGCACAAGCTGCCCACTGAGCCAGAGGGTGTTGTAACAACTGGGCAGACAGCTAGGAGTTTTAAAAAGCACAGTCATTAGCTATTTTACTGAAGAGATGCCTTGCACAGAGCTATACAAAGATTCAAAGCAGAAGAGGGGCTCATTGAATGTTCTTTTCACTCCCCAAGTAATATAAGCTCCTGCTACTCAGGGCCATGGGTAACTTAAGAGCCAGAGGATCAGACACTAAATGATCCATGGAGGCTATCTGAATTCCAGTTCCAAGTCTTCTGGCATTCCGCTGCTGGCTTAACGGGCTCCTGAACTTGATTTTCCCTGTCACATACCCGCTAGTGGTGGAGAACAGTGGACAGTTTCCATGCTGAAATGGCAAAATAAATATCTTGTTTTATACTAGAAGCCAAGATGAATAGGAAAGGGGTCATGACCTTCTTTGACAATAAGCCTACATAGTAAGAGTAAAACTTACTTATTTTTTTCTAGGCCTAGATTTCAAGATTTTCTTTTGAAAACCACTTGCCATTAATTTTAATCTTTTCGAGTGAGTTAAAAAAATACACATGTGCATTTATTAGGGGATTCTTAGCTACAGTTTAAAAAGTTATAATTCCTTGGATCAGATCACACATATATTTATTAAGAAAACTATTAGTGAAATTTGGAGACTTGTTTGCTTTAAAGAAACAGCAGCAAGATCTCGTATCCTGTCCGCCATGCTCTTATGAAAATTAACACATTAAAAAATACCACTCAAAAAAAAAATAAAAAGAAATAAAAAAAACCACTACCACCAACTGAGGAAGAAAGATTGCTGAGTTGTTGTTCAAGGACTTGCCTGCCTAGAGTAGAAAAGATTCATATAAAGGTTTTGCACATTGTTATTATGTACCATCAACTCAGAGCTGACCCTCCAACAGGCTTTCAGAAGCAGTACGTCACACAGAAAGAGAGCTGGTAGAATCGAACAGCGTGCCTTTAAGTTGGCAGCACAAGTCCTTACCTCTAAGCCACCAGAGCTCCCTGAGGCTTTTGCATAAGATCATCTGAATTCAGACACCAGCCGAGGATGCGTATTTAATCACATCTGTTTCTTGGAGACAAGGCATAATGCTACTACTGAGAGTCTTCATGTAACTGAAATAAAGTGACTTGAAAGTGACTGACATGAAGAAAGGAGCTCTGGTGGCATGCTCGCTCCATAAGGATTTGCACTGCTACCCCAACGGCCGCACCTCTCAGGTGGTTCAAATCGAGAGCAGCTCCACAGGCAGAAGAGCAACAGCTTCCCATGCAATTTATAGCCTCAGGAATCCACTGGACGGTCAGCTATGAGTCAATTCTGACTTGATGGCAATGAGAGACAAATCAAAGTGCCCAAAAAACGTGGTAATGTTGTTGTTGTTATGTGCCGTCGAGTTGCTTGCGACTCATAGCGACCCTATGTACAACAGCCCTAAACTCCGCTCTGTCCTGTGCCAATCGCACTGTCTCTGACGCTCCCAACCAATTATCCCAGTCACTGAATCAATCCACCTCATAGAGGGCCTTCCTCTCCTGCGCTGTCCCTCCACCCTCCCAAGCATGATGTCCTTCTTCAAGGACCGGTCTCTCTTCACATGTTCAAAGTATGTTAGATGGAGCCTCAGAATCCTTGCCTCCAAGGAGCCACCCGGTTTAACCCTTTCCAGGACAAATCTGTTTGTTTTCCTAGCAGTCCATGTTAATTGTCTAATTTCTTTTATGGAGCTCTGGTAGCCTAGTGGTAGGAAACTGCACTGCAGTCTCGAAGGCATGAGGTTTGAATCCACCAGCTGCTCTGTGGGAGAAGGATGCTCAATCTCCTCCCACACGATTAACTGCCTCTGAAAACCTGCTGATGGGTCACCTATGGGTCGGTTCTGATTCGATGGTACTCAACAATTTCTTTTACTGCCTTCTAGGTCTGGCATCAATATATTTCTTTCCACAGATGTAGCATCATCCATTTCATAAGGGATACCGCCCTGATGCAGATCTAACTTTAAAACTTCTTTTCAAAAGGACAGAGACCTTATCAACTCTTTTCAATCTTTTTGCCAGCCTTTTGCCTTTTATCACTTTCTTTAAAAAAAACTGATGATAAAGGGAGGGCCCTGTCACTTACCTGCGCCAACTTTCCCTAACCACAAGTAAGTATCCCAGTGAGCAGATCCCAGGGACATATTCCACATGTGTAGACTCCACTGTGCTCAGCAGTCCGAATGGTCCCGCCTGGCTCTGCAGGGCTCTGCAGGGCTAGGAGGCAGGGGAGCACAAACGCCCAGCACTCGGTCTCCCTCCGCCCAGGTTTCTATCACATTGCCACCATATGCTGCGTCCAGCCGACATCTGCTCCCATATGTTCCCACCAATAAGCGACCATGCTGTTTATTTTAAGAGCCTTCTCCAGAGTATTACAAAGAGAGAATTCCCTCACATAACAGGTCGGCAAAGCCAGGAAGCTGTACTGGGTATAAATTGTTTGTCACAAGATTAGCAAGTCAAACAAAGTTTTCTCACTCATATCTGATCTTTGAAAAGAGATGCTGAAAGTCATCTTAAATTAAAAAAAAATCGTAGCAAATAGAACCAGACGGAGGCAGGATATTCAGTGGGAGTTACCTAGTAGTCCTTTTTCTTCTTGGCCCTATGCATTTCTGGGGGGATTTGACTCCTTTTCCTGGGGAACAGCACCTTCTTCAGGCCAATATATGTTGTGATACAGAAAAAAAGACAATTCCACTGACTGCATTCAGAGCTCTGAAATCTCCCACGGCAGTTTGGGCCAAGTGCAGAATGTACGGGAGCATGGGAAGGACCCCGACAGCCATTTCCAACAGACAGGCAGTCCTCAAGTATGCACCTGTGGTTTACGATCAACCTGCTATAAAATGTGCAGTTTTATTTGGAGGGGTGGGTTTTGGTTGTTGATTTTTTTATATTTGTGTTTGCTTTGTTTTGGGTGGGTTTTTTTGTGGGGGTTTGTTTTTTTTGCTATTGTGAAAAGCTTTATTGTCATTTGGTTCAAGGCTAAGCCAGTGGCTTCTACATGTATAAAATTCTGCCCCAGCTTGGGAAGAAGCGTGCTGCTGATGGGAGGAGGATACAGAGGTCCTCCACAGGTCCCCACAGCGCCCTAGTCATGTCTGAGGATCAGTCACTTGAAGAGATACTCACCCAGCCTGTCCTGGGAACTGCCCAGTCCTTTAAATGTTCATCTATCTCCTTCAGTAGTTTCATTTTCTCATCCAGGAAATATTTCTCCAGAAAGTCACAGAGAAGGGGATCAGTGTGAGTAGAACCCAGGGCATGCAGATCCAGAAGGGCCTTGTTCAGGATCTTCTCCAGGGCAGAGCCGCTTCTGTGGTGTCCAGGGTTGCCCTCACTCTTCCTGGGATGGCTTCTGTATGTCTTGAAAGATGGCATGCCACAGTGGTGGGTTTGCAGCTTCATGAGATGCTGGGCACCCTCGTGCTTCTCCTTTACCAGCTCATGGAAAAAGTGTCCCACGCCTTCCAAGGCCACTCCGTCCCGGTGGAAACAACAATCCAGAGACAGGGAGGTGTAGAAGGCCCGCATATACACGGTACAGGTTGACCAGACAGTTGATGTTCTGGTGGAATAATTCTGACAGATATGATAGCTCATTCTTGTTTGAGGATTTGGTGGGGCCTTAAAAGAAAGGCCTGGAACTCTACCTCCTTAAGCAGACACCGAAAACTCAGTCAAGCCCAGATCTAATCTGTCACATGTGGAATGAAGTAGCAGATGTCAGAATACACGTAATGGCAACTGTGAGGTTTTGTTTTAGCCTTGTGTTCCTGGAAGGACAGGGAACTCCAATGCTAATCTTGAACTTCAAGAACATGAATCCATCAAGCACACAAACATCATGGAGATACAAGTGATGTCACGGCCCTGGAGGTGTTGCCCATGGAGTGTTGTAAAATAACCAAAGGCCAAGCATCCCAGACCAGCAGCTCAGAGCGAATAAGATGGACAGTCTCCTCCCATTATGATTCACAGAGTCAAAAACTCAATGGAGGAAAACTATGAGTCAGAACAGACTCGATGGGAATGAGTTTAGTTTTGAGTATGGTTATGATGTATAAAGAAAACAATCCTTGTTTTAAGTTAATCTATTTCCAATAACCTACATGACTATAGTGGCACTGGGGTATGAATATTTTTATTTAAAAAATCAACAAAGGTTTGATTATATGTGAAAATGCTGTGTGAATTGTAAAATACTATAAAGATTGTAATTTTCAATATGGAGTGAAGCTCAACATCAAGAAAACAAAGATTCTCACCACTGGGCCAATTGTCAACATCATGACAGATGGAGGAGCGATTGCAGTTGTTAACAATTTCAACTTGCTCAGTTCCACAATCAACACTCTTGAAACCAGCAGTCAGGAAATCAAAGACTAAATACATTGGAAAATCTTCTATCAGGAACCTCTCCAGAGTGCTAAAGAGCAGCAATGTTAGTCTGGAGACTAAGGTGTGTCTGATATAGGCCATGGTCTTTGTAATTACATGCTATGCATCAGAGAGGTGGACAATGTCTAGGGAGGACAGAAGGAGGATTGATGCCTCTGAGTTGTAGTGTTATGGGGAGCTCTGGTGGCCTAGTGATAAGAAACTGCGCTGCAATCCTGAGTTGTGGCGCTGTAGAGGAGTGTTGAACATTCCATGGACCGCCGAGAGAACAAACAGGTTGGTCCTGGAGAGAGGTAAAACTAAGTTGCTCCTTAGAGGTGAGGATTCCGAAGCTCCGTCTGACATACTTTGAGCATGTGACCAGGAGGGACCAGCCCGTGGAGAAGGACATCATGCTTGGAAGGGTGGAGGGACAGCGCAAGAGAGGAAGACCCTGGATGAGATGGATTGACACAGTAACTGAGATAATGGAGTTAGGTGTACTGGAGACAGTGAGACTGTCTCATGATAGGGCAAGGTTCAGTGCTACTGTGCATAGAGTCACTATGAGTCATAGGTGACTTGAGAGCATCTAACAACAACATG